GAGTTCACTCATTTAAGACTAATTGTATTTAAAAAATAGAAGTTCAATGTAATTTTATGAACTTTATTACTATTTGATTCATTAAGACTCGAATTTACCTTATTAACAAGTTGTGTTCTAGCTCGTTTATCGGTTCATTAACTTAACGAATAAGTTGAAGAGGGTTCGAACGTGAACTCAACTATTAAAAGTTAGAATTCGACTCATTTATTACTCCAGTCACGTTTGATATAAAAATCCCAACTCAGTATTTTATTCAACGATAGCAAAGAGAATACCCTACATGACCATCATTTTCTTTTATTTATTTATTTTTTAAAAAAAAAATACGACCATCAATTTGTTTGTAGAATTACGGTAATGATTTAGAAATGGTGGCCCTTTTATTTCCTTTTTGGTCCTACGCTATTATTTGATGTTTTGTTGTATAATTGTTATACATGTGCACATTATAACAAATGTTTTTTCTCATACAATTGATACAACTCACATAAACTCTCTATATATTGGGTCCTCATTGAACAGATTAAAACAGACTCCGATCTGCCTGAACTGTCGGGAATGAACTTGTAGAACTCAACGCCGGAGGATCTTCCGAGGCGAAGAATTTCCGATACTTAAGTCATTAACCACGAAGATAATAAAGGCAGTATATTGTGTATATAGTGTAAAAGTTGTGATTTAGTCCTCAATCCCTTTTATAAAGGAAATACCTATCCGAAATGTCATGCCGGGTGTCAGTGGTCAGCCTGCCCGGCTGCCCGAATTTTTAGTGGTTATCCATATCTTAATAAGTTCTTTGTTAGATCCTAGTCATCTTAAGATTTCTTCTTATTCTTATAGGATTCATCCTTATCCATTAAACTTGTTAGATCTCGAGACCCGAATATACTTCTTAATACATGCTTCGAGCCTCAAGACTATGGAGGTTGACTTGGTACCTACCTCGAGATATCAAGTCGTCCAGTGTCCACCTCGAGCTGAGTTACCATGATTAGATTGTTATCTTCCTAGCCATTTCTAGATCATCGTCGAGATCCTCGAATTATTCGTCCATTCGCCTGTATCAAGCTATTTCATGGTTAGATCTACCTTCTAGGTCGTTATCTAATAAGTCGATGTCGAGGTTCCCGAATCGCAGTCTTTCGCCGTGCTCCTATATATGCTAGTTATCTCAGATCGACACATGCAACTCGTCTTACAATCCGGACAAGCTACCATCACTTAATTCGGTCTACGCGAGTATGGTTATATCACTATATTTCTCAATTTATTTCACAATTATCTTAGTAAATACATGCTAATTAAGTTTACAAACATTTATATATTGGTAATTTGGTATCATGCATCTAATTCATAAGAGAAAAGCACAATATAAAACTTCCTACGATTTAATTTTGAGGAACATACTATAGCATATCTCTCCCTTTTATCTTTTGTCTAATATCCAAGACCGATCTACAGGCCAATGATTTGTTTTTTCAAATTTTATATATTTGTAATCAGTCAATCCTAACCATTATATGAACTTTGGTACCTTTGTTGAAATTATTTTTATTCAATTACTTTGAAGCTAATAAGTTGTCAACTATGTGAAATGTAAGTGAATGAGAAAAACTTACGAATTTATTAAGTGATATGTGACTTAGTAGAATAGCAACAAGTACAATTTGTGTACCATAGTCCACCAAATAGTTGAATTAACGAGTCCTCCATATACATATAGGACTAGAGTTGTTAAATGAAATGAGTTGCTGGTGAGTTCGGCTTGTTAAGGTTCGAGCTCAACTCGACTATCTAAATAGTCGAATTCGAGTTCATTTAAAGTTCGTTTGACTAAAGAGTCGTCTGCCTTAGCTCATTAAGGATCGAAAAGATGAGTTTTTATATAATTTTTTTACTCTTCGGCTACCGTATGTTATTTTTGGTACCATCCATATATATTTTATTTTCCAAGCTTCTACATAGTACCATACAAATAAAAAACTATAATATGTTAAATAATTGAATTTTTGATGTCAATATAAATTTTGTGTATGTAAAATATGATTAATTATTTGGTGCCCATGCTCTTGAATTCAATGCCCATTTCTAGTGGCTTATATGATACTACAAAAGAAGGGGATGTCACTTTCCACTAAATATTCATCAATTTTCTCAAAACAAAAGTAGGTGCCACAGTTAATTTTTATTTATTCTTTTACATGCTTCCATCACACGTGTCGCAATATTATTCGCCATCAGGAGTGTTCTGTGTGCCCCCACAGCCTTTCTTAATCAATCGGCCTCGATGACTAATGTGTTTGTGTATATGGGGTTCAATTATTGGTGTTCTGATGTTCTCTCATTGATTTTGTCATTTATGTTTTGATTGCGAGATTGAAATATATATGTTGGCAGTAATATAATTTTATCAAACTTACAATGTGTAATATGCAAATGTTGATTAAGAAACTCATCATGCTTATTTTTCATTTCATAATAAAAATTAATAAATACTTCTATTTAAAACAATACTCGTCACTCTTAAGACTTGTTATTTTGTTTTATATATACAACATAAAAGTCAAATTAAAGATTATCAAAATATTAACTTAAAAATATTACATACACAAAGTGGTAATAAATAATTAATTTTTTTAAGTTTTAAAATAAACTTAAGTTGGTTTTATATAATTTTAAAAATCATATTAGTCACGGTTAAAAGTCTAAAAATCCAAACTTTATTGCTTCAAATAATTAGAGATTCGCAAGTAAACTCAAAAAATAAAAATTAACAATTAAACTAAAAAATTTAAATACATATATAATATGTGTATATATATATATATATATTTCTAGTTGAATCTATTTAGTATGATTTGAGAAAAAATCATTCAAAATAATAAAAATAATAATACATCTCAAATCATTGTTATATAGCATATTGTTTAGTAGATAATTAATCATAAGATTAGGGCTGTTATTCGAACAGAACGTTCGTGAACAAAGCTCGTTCGAGTTCGTTCGTGTTCGATAACAACTCGTTTGTTAAGCATTCAAACCGAACACGATTTACGCTCGTTTAGTTATCGAACGAACACAAACATGTTCGCGAACTAAACGAGCGTTCGTGAACAAAAAAATATTTTATAATTTTACATATTATATATAGTATATACATGTATAATATAATATATAATATGAATATATATTAAATATTAAATAAAATAAAAATATTTTATAATTTTATATATTATATATAGTATATACCTATATAATATAATATATAAATATGAATATATATTAAATATTAAATAAAATAACTTGTATGACATTAAAATAAAATAAAAAAAATTAACAAACACGAAAACACGAACATGTCGAACAATTCGAACACAAACTTGTCGAACAATTTGAACAGTTCACGAATAAGTTCGACTAGATAAACGAACGAACACGAACGGTTCGAACCCAATAAACGAACGGACACGAACGGAATTTTTTGTTCGTTTACTAAACGAACGAACATGAACATGTTCGAAAATTAGTCGAACTCAAGCTCGAAAACCTTAAGCTCGATTCGGTTCGTTTCGATAACAGCCCTACATAAGACCATCAGTTTGAGTCATGCAACATGTAAGTGGAGAACCACTTTTGATCCCCTTTTTTTTATAAATAAAAAAAAAAAATTAATCATTAGACCATCACCTATCTACATAAAACTAAAATATGGTAGAAATTTCTTGAAAATAATTTTTCATTATATAAATATATCAAAAATAAACAATAGAATCAAAAAAGGAAAAAAAAATGTAACTAATGTTCAAAATTTCAAGAATAAAACTACCTAGGCAGGGGGACCACAAGCTGGGCTCATGCTTATGATTTATGAGTTATGACACACAGACACAGTAAATGAAATAATAACTCAACCATTACTTTGCGAGTCACAAATAACAAAACTAACCCTAAGGTTCAATGTAATTACAAAGAACACCCAATCAACTCCTAAATTACAAACACCCTCCCTTCAAACATGATGAGGCCATACAATACAAAAATTAAAGTGTATTGATTTGGGATTTCGAGTGACATTTTGAGACTTTTTTTAACTTAAAAAATGGAATTTAGAGTAGGATTTCGTACACGGTTTTTTTTTTTCTTTTGAAACCCCAGTAAATCTTAAAAATTCTTAACAAATTATAGTCTCAAATAACTTAAATACCTTATGACTTTAAAATCTCAAATGAATATCTCAAGACTTTTAAAAGTCACCAGGATTTCCAAAGTCTTAAAAAGTCTAACACCAAACGAATACACCCTCCGTAATTTTTAATTTTAGAAGATAGAATGGATTTCTTTTCATAATAACCTTTAAACCTTAGGAAAAGAGATTAAGCCAGCTTTCGACTCTTCTTGTCACTCCTTTCTTTCTTCCTCAACTCGCGCCTCTCTTCCAAGTATTGCTTTTTTATCAACAAATTCCGTACGGCCGTTTTAACGGCTTCAGCTGCCGTAAAAAAGGCTTCTTTACTGATCGTCGTTTTACCCTGCAGTTCTTGAAGAAGGGGCTTCGACCCAGGTATCTCAAGGTCATCCAAGACTAGTAGAGGCCCATTTTTCAGGCCGAAGCCCGAAATTGCTGCTTGCTAATGAATACCTCTGAGCGAGCCATCGGAAGTTGCACAAAGATCGGTTATAGCTGGCATAATCTCCTCTCGCTCTTTATTACAATTCGAAAGCCCTGCCTTAAAATAATATAGGAGTTATTAAGTCCAAAGCCGAGGATTATATTATAGCTTATAATAAAAGCAGAAAGTAAACTGTTTGGGAAAAAATGCAGATAAAGAGAAGGAAAAATAATCTCAGCTACCTTAGTCCAAACATCACATGTATCAATCAAAGAACCAGATGTATAGTCCCACAACCGAACCTTCGAAAACCACAGATCAAGTTAGAAGGAAAAAAAAAGTAACGATAATAATAATAATAACAATAATGCGAGGTTATTTTAGTAAATTATTGATGTTGAAAAGTTGAATATTTGAGTTCTATAGCTCACTCATGAATCAGCTTCTGGAGAGCAAGAGTCCTTGAGAGTAATCGTGATTACTGACGAATGTAATGCAGGAAATGTACCTGGTGAGGATTACACAGAATGAAAAGTGTAAACTATATCTTGATATGATGAATATCTTAGTTTCTCAATTTTGGTGCAGATGGAAATAACAGCACTTACTCGGTATGACCAAGACAAAAACTTTGGATCTCATGAGCCCCATTTAAGGGCTCTTTTGGAAATACAGTCACCTATTATTAGCAAAAGAACACAGTTAGAAATAAACCAACAAGAAAAGGCAAAAACAAAAAGGGGAGAAGAAAAGCACGCCATGTAAGGATGTTACACGAATTTTAAAGTCTCGATCAGCAGTAACAATGTATTGCCCATCTGGAGAAAATTCCTGCACGTCAAGTATGGTAAGAGTACGTAAAATCACTCGTATACAACAGTAAGTAGCATCGAGAATGCTTGAAGAATCACTTTACGAAAAAAAGGATAGAACAAACAACATACAGCAGAAACATCGACATGCAGTAACGACTCAGATTGGCTTATTCGAATAAACACACCGCATTATTTACTCGAAAAGACTCGTAACATACTAATTCTCCACTGCAAGAAAACCCATACCAATTTAGTAATTATGCTACAATAATGAAGCAGAAATGGAATTGCCTTGTTTTTAATCAAAGCCGGGCATCGTAATCACAATNAGCAGAAATATCGACATTCAGAAATTATCCAGATTGGCTTAAAATCGAATAAACACATCACATTATTTACTCAAAAAAAATCTCATAAAAACTAGTTCTGCACCGCAAGAAAACTCATACCAGTCTTGTAATTGTGCTACAATAATGAGAAAGAATCGGAACAGCCTTCTTATCCATCAAAACCGGGCCTTTATAATCACAACCAAGTATATCGACAACATAGAGTTCCGCAAAACCCCTTACACAGAACAAAAACAACGCCAACGATTAGCATCCCAAATTTTCACCAGCTTGTCATCTCCAGCTGATACGAAAAGCTTCCCGCTTTTACTGTACCGAGTGGCCCGAATCGAATCTTTATGGCCTCCATTATCATCAATCAATTTAATCCCTCAACCATCTCTTCAAGAACAATCAATAATTAGCATTACCTAGCATTACCCGTCTCTAAAAAATTATTCTTTTTTAAACTAATGCGATAAAAAAAAGTGTTCCTTTTCTTACCGGAGACTGAAAACCAGGATGTCCGACCCGACGGAAACGGATATTGAATTCTGGTTCGGGTGAACTGCGATTAGTGCCGGAGCAACCTCCATTTCCAGCTTCTGCTTGCTTTCTTCCATCCCAACGTCCTCCAATTTTTTGCCCCCAATTTTCGAATTGCAGAGCCCTAGGATTTGCTGCAATTTGATTTTGATTTTGAGGTGACATAAGCTCCGTCCAATAGGCTCAGGCCCAAAAGCCCAAATGGTTATATGAATTCGTTTCATGGCCCATGTTCTATGGGCTGCCATATACGCGGCCCTTTTAGAGACAAGAAACAAATTTTGGGCCTATACACCACTTGGGTTATTGTTTTGAGAAAATTTACAATAATCACCTTCAAACTCATTTTATTTTGACTGTCTTGATTATACCGTAATTTAAATTGTTGCATTTTTTTGTCTTAGCAACTGGAACAGTTTTAGCCTCCCACAATTGTGTTTCATTTCATATGAAAAAAAATAAAATATACATTAAATCGAAATTACCAAAAGAAAATTAATAATAATCGACCAACACCGCAACATAGGAAAAAAATTAAATCGAAATCGAACTATATTTTTTACACTAAAATAACTGAACAGTTCACACCCCACCGAAATGCATAGTTTTGCTTGATTTTCGGTTTTGCCTCATTTTTTCTTTACATATAATTTAGGTGGTTTGGTACAAAACCGCATGGAATCGAACGAAATCGAAAACCAAACGTATAAAAAATCGTAACGAAATTGTACCGTACGTAATATATGAAAAAATCGAACCGAAGAATTGCCCAGTTCGACTCGATTTTTTCGATTTGGGCTCCCCATGCATCATAAATAATATTAAATTTACTTGATTTTGGAGTATATATATTTATATGCTGCGTTGACTTGTACCAGAAGCAAGGGTACAATCAATGAAGCATGCACATTGAGTATCTACATCATTATTCACTCACCCTCTCGTGTGCCCAAACTGATTTTTACATCTTTCATCTTTGAGCACTGTCATATTCTGACAGACTAGCTTAACAAGTAAAGGTTATTTTTAAGTTTTAACACGAATTTATTACTGACTTTTACTTATTTTACCACGCTGTGACATCATCGGTATTAATTTCTAATTTTCTATGCATGCTTGAATAAATAAACACACCCGCCAAAAAAAAAAAATAAAATAAATAAATAACAAAAAACACATATACAAATAAGTAAATAACCCCATTATTGTTTTATAATCGATGTGACAAAATTAAATCCATGATTTTCTTAGCCAAAGGTAGATAAATATGTCCAAAAATAATAGAGCAAAGACGTCACATGCCCGTCACGTGACCGAGTGTTAACAGCTAGGGTTTTGTCCACTTGATGCCTTGTAATAAGTTGATTGAGGAGGCATAGTTTCCAGTAATATATCGACACGTGGCAATCCCCAGTAAGTCTCCCAGGTAGCAGCTTTGAAATTGTAAAGCTTCCAATAAAAAACGAGTCTTTTTGACTTTGAGTGATACCATTGTTGTAAATAAATAGGAAAATTAACAGTTTATGTATTATATTTTGTTATATATTTTAAATTTTATATTAAGATATTATCTTTCCATACAACGCTTTAATTACTATTCCCCCACTTTTATGGTTAGTGTTTTAAATTTATAATATAAAATTGTGTATATCAATTATCATCATATAGATGGAAGATTTTATCTACAAATGATAAATATTTAAAAAATAAAATATCAAATCTACAACAACAATTAAAATTAAATATTTAGGGGGAACCATATCCCGATAACATGCAAGTACATTATTGTGTTTCTTGTTTCTTTTACTACAAGTCTACAAGTGGGTACCATGCATCCAAGCAACAAAAACAAATAAATAATTTATTTTATTGTACTACTTTTTTTTTTCAATTGAAATCTCATCTTAAAACACTTTAAATATTAAAAATCACAAATTCATTTTGAGGGTCAAGCCGGTTAGGCAGGTCGATCTATTACATTTATGGAAGAAAATTATATTAAGAAATATTATATTTTTATTTATATATATTTTTAAAAAAATATGTCACATGTATATGAAATTATGCATATTCGATAAAAATATAATTTTATAACGATTAGATCTGTATAATACGATCAAACTTCCAGATATCAAATAGATTTACTTGGGGATTAAATATGCCTAAATAACAATTGGGGGATATCATTGGATAGGATATGACCTAGATGGACTATATACTAATTTATTTCATATGGTATTTAAATAAATTTTAAAGGGTAATTAAGCACATGCTCCTAAAAATGGAAACCTAAATGCAGCTTCCCATCCCCATTGCCATATTTGTCTTTCTTTTTTCTCTTTTATCTTTTTGTTAAAATAAAGCCATAGGTGTTACCTTAACACCTGCCAAATCACCGTATCTTACTTTAGACTAAAAGGTAATATTCCATATATATTTTCATGAACATGCAGAATAAAGTTATATACGGCCAAACAACAAATTAAAGGTGTTAAATCTTAATAAAAGTAAAATAAGGATGAATTTGAGTAGTGAAATAGTAATTTATTAGCCAAGAAATTGAAGAATTTTCATTCTAATATTATCTATATATATAGAAAATAAAAGGTCGGAGATGATCTTGTATCAGTCCGATTTTAGTTAATTAATAATAATTAATCAATCTAAAAAATTGTTAACAAAATAATGTCCTAGATGCTCCCAATATTTCAGGAANTATATTCATCAAAATGTGTACTTGTACAGGCACAAAACTCTAGACCACTTCATCTTTCTATCAATAGCAAAGATTAATTTTTATTTTTTCATAAATAATTCATTTTAATTAGTAGACAATTTAATTGTTAGTTGAGCCAACTAATATTTATTGGACAAAACTGAATATCTATGGACTATGTTATAATTTGCATAACTTATATTGTTTTTCAAAATATAGCATTTTTAGAGTGAATTGTAGTTTTATTTTTTCAAGTACAACTCCCAGGCAAAAAAGTCATGTAGAGATGGTCGATCAAATTTTCATCCTATAATATTTATTATGAGTAAATGTTGCTATTTATTCATCGACCCTCAGAAATTCATAAATTGCTATCGTTAGTAACCTTTTCTCATATATACAGTATGAAATCCTTATCGAGTATCTGAAATTTTTTTGCTCGAGTCCTATACATAAAGAACTAAAAATTCAATTTACTCGATATTTTATTATGAAAATATAAGAATATATATTATTTATTTAAAAATAATGTATTCCCAAAGTCAGTCTTGTCTAATATTAATCCTCCTGATTTTATTAATAGTTGTATGCCAAAGTTTATGCTCCAAATTTTGTAAATTCATATTAATTAAGAGAGACAATAAGTCACGTTTAAGTTTTTATCAATTTACCAAATTGATTGGTTTTGTACGAAATTCATATTGGAAATTGTGAAAAAAAAAAAATAGAAATTAAGGTTAAATTATTCTGGCCACAACTGAGAGTACGTAAGAGTAGTAAGTAATAGGTGTGTAGTCACGGTGATTAAGCGGCGGGGCCACGGCGGGCCCGGCCAACAGCCACCGCCAATGCTGCCACATGCCCTCCATGCAATAGTAGTTTTCTTGTACTTGAAGAAAAAAATAAATAAATAAATAAAAGTTACTGTTAGACTACAAATATTATGACCTATATATCTGCTTAACCTATGAGCTATATGAATGTGGATATCAATTTCAGCACTAAGAAAAGTTTCATAGTTAGAAATATAATATAACTACGTTTGAGCTATGGATTAATTGCAAAATAAGCAAAATGATATTTAAAAAAAGGTCTAGTAATTTGGAGAAGATGACATATTTGGCTAGCTAATAACTTTTGTGAACGAGCAAAACATGCCCAAAAATATTGCAAAACATACTCATGAACTTCTTAAAAAATAATAAAAAAATAATAGCCACTAACTCACATGTTTGGAGAAAATGTCTTTTGATTAGTTAGTGAATGTTTTTTGTAATTGAAAAAATTATTAGACAAAATTGTCATTTGCTTAAAGTTACCGTGCATATTTTGCAATTTTGGCTTACAAAAAACCAAGGTAACACTTTTGAAATTTACAATAATGTTCTCAGATTTTGTATTTGTTTCACAATTTTCTCAAAATTTGCAAATGTTCCCTTAGATTCTTGTATTTGCATCACAATTTTTCTCAAATAGAACCAACTTTATCAAATAAAAACATGTCAAGAAAGTAACTTTAATTTTTAAAAGACAATTAATATATATATATATATACACATATACCAAAGGCAAAATTGCATTTTATGCCCTGTAACTAGGGATGTGTGGCAAATGTGGACAACTAATTTTTGGTTTGGCAAAAATGCCCTGAAACTTGTTAAAAACCGAAATCCGTGTCAATTTGGGCACAAATTTCAAATTTTAATAAGTTACTGTCCTGTTTTGCCACACGAAAAACCCGATCAAATCCGGTAACTTGTAGGTAAATTGGGCACAAATTCTGGGTTTTAACAAGTTTCAGGACACTTTTGCCAAACCAGAAAGAAACTATCCATATTTGTCATACAGGCATAGTTACAGGACACAAAATACAATTTTGTCCATCACCAAATTACTATTAGTACAATTCAAAATTCAATACTCTCTCTACTGAACCATTTCTAATTTTCTATCCTTTTAATGAATCAAAAAGTGTTTTGGTAGCCTTTTATGTGAGGTATGTGTAAATGTGTTGGTGAACAGCAATGAATGAACAAAAGGGATTTGGGTAAAAACAGTAAAAGCATAATATGGACAAAACCCTTTTGGAATTTTATTGCTCTTTTTGCAGACTTAAACCTGATGATGGTAAGGTTACAAGACATAGAAAAAAGATAAAGCTGAAACAAAAAAAGAAAATCAAATATACAAGCAAATTTGAGCTTCTAGTATCAATCTCAAGCTTGACTAACTTAAAGCTACTGCAAAAAAAATAATTAAAAAAAGAAAAAGAAAAGGAAAAAAAAACTATAGGTAAAACATTACTGCACATGGGCTTATTATTTTCCAAGAAAATTTTTTCATATACAAAAAAAAAAAGAATTGCAAATTA